AAAAAAAAAAAAAAAAAGACATTTCTGTTTCTAAAACAAAACTCTGGTAAATCTCCTTTTAAATCTCTCAATTAAGACCTATCACCTGCAAGTTAGAATCCAAACTCCTTAGCATAATGCAGAACGCTCTTCATTACCTGACCATGATAACCTTTTCCTCACTCTTCATCTAGTACTTATTTATACATCTTATGTTTCAGCCCTTTAGGCTGTTTATAGTTTCATCAAATGCCCATCTCACTTCTCCAAACCTTTCCCATGCTACTCACTCTAACCAGAATGACTTTCTCAAACTGCCTGTCTGGACAATGTCTATTTCCTATGATATCTGCTAAAGTTTTACTTTCCAATGTATTTCATATAAACTTCTACCATCACTTATCTTGCTATATCAGAGATTTATGTTTATATATAACGTAATTCTCACTATCAGTGGACTATGAGCTACTAAGTGATCTCTAATATCCAGCCCAGTACATAGTATAAAACGAGTTCAATAAATATTTGATTATTAGATGCTTAAATAAACAAGTGAATAAGCTATGGTATAAAGACCACAATCAAAATTGATTTGAAGAGAAAATAATGAGAATATTATAGTTAAGAAAATATTAAGTCCATACTCACAGAATGTCATAAAACTTTTTCATATATAAGTTATAGAGTTCTGTGCCATATCTAAGATAAGCAAATATGAAAAGTTTAGGCGGCTTGCCAAAGACTCTAAACAATTTAAGTAGGTCCTTCAAATCACTCAGGTAAGAAAAATAATTTTTAAATGTGTTGAACTCACACAGTAGATATTCTGTTGGATTCTATGTTAAATGACATAACCTTAATTTAAAAATAAAAAGGGCTTCAAAATTTTGTTTGCATCAGAAGAAATCTAATTTTGCTACATTTAGCATTATTTAAATTTATAATCATGAATCTTTAATGAAACTGTAACATTAAAAAAAGGTAATTATTTCATAAATAAAAACCAGATAAAACTGATGTCATCAAAATACTACCTGAATTTTTTTTCTTTTCTTCTTTTCGTTTTTTGTCATTGTATTTTTCTTCACCACCTGTTTCACTGAGTAACATTTCAGGTATCTAAAACATAAAAAGCAAATCACTGTGAAAAAGTTTAAGTTCCATATCAGAAGTTAAAAACCTTTAACACAAAAGAAGTCAGTATTGATTGTACTTTTCTTTTAGGATTCATTCCAGACTAAGAGAAAAAAAAAAATACAGAAATATTTAGAAGAAATGATTTCCTAAACATCATTTTGACACATATCAACCATTAACTGATTGCAAATTAATGGCACATTGGGAAAAGCTCACTTGAAATGGTGAGACTATATGAAATGAAGGAAATTACAATTTGGATTAAATTAGAAAATAATCACAATGCCATTTAAAAACATACAGTAATAAAAATATTTTATTTGGCATAAAACTAGTAAAATGCCTTCATGGCATAGTAGGGTAGCAAGGATTCTTAGCTTTTTCAAATAAAAACTAAAAGTAAATAAAAATAATTTTATAATCAATTTCATAACTGATCATTCTAAAAATATATTCTTAGTATGACTGAAATTTTGCCATTATTATAAATAAGCAAATACAGTTTCATAGCAGATATCATTATCATTAAAGATAACCTTATAAAAATGCTACTTTAGAATATACAAAAGACAGTTTAGATTCCCCAAAAAAATTAAAGTAACATTTTGAAATTTTAAATTAAGCCAAATAGCTTGAATTTCTTTCACCTGATAGAGCTGACATTACCATCAAGAGGAAACACAAGTGATCCAGCTAATTAGGTCGAAAAATCATTTTTTAAATTTCTCAGACTGAAAAAAAACTGTAAGCCAAAAGAATGTACCATAGTTCTTGCGACAGAGTGTGCCTTCACTGATTTCTGACAAAACACTTAAACCTATGTGAGAATATCTGAAACTTATATTTTTAAATCAACATTACTCTGTTTCTTTGGGAACTCATTTTCTTTAAAATGGTCTATCCTCAAACAATATCCTGCATTAGCAGTCTGTCTGCCTGATTTGCCTCGTTCCTTCCCTTGAAGTAAAAATGGTACTTTTTAAAGAGCTGAATGGGCATAGTAAGCCTATTAATTTGCTTTATTTTCATCTATTACATATTCTCAGATATTTCATATATTAACATATTCATAACATAATATATAACACATATTAACATTTTCATACATTAACATATCCAAAACGGATGGATCCTATCAACCCCTTCAAACTAGCTTTCAATTGCTTCTAGTTGCTTATTAAATAAGATTCAAAGTCATGGCACTTAAACGCTTTCCCTCCTTATCTGTCCCCGATATTTCCCACTACAATGTACCACATACCCTGTGTAGCAGCCACATGAACTCTCTATTTCCAGGCACACCGTGCAATATCATGTCCTTGAACCACTGGGCCTGCAAGTGAGGCAGTGCCCTCTTGCACTTCATAACTACTTCAAAACCATCCTCACTAAGCTCCCTAAATTTAGTTGTCATATTATCAGGCTAAAGTAACCACTAACCCTCCTTGCTGCAGGCATCTACCAGTCCAATCATTTCTTCACTCCAGAAATAATTTTAGCTCTTGGCTCACTTTCACTCTTTCCAACACAATCCTTGTCTTACCTTCTTAATTATTCCCAATGTCAATATCCATTATAGATAATCACTCTAATATCCTCACCTCTCAATTCCTTGAGCACCTCTTCTCCTCTTAGACACCACACTTTTGTCAGCCACTCACCTACACAGTCAAATCCTGAGATTTTGTAATTATCACTAAGTGAAACCCTTCCATAATCTCACTTTCAAACATCCCATTCTTCTATCGCTACACTCCTGTCTTCCCAGCTTACTCCCTCCCAGTATCAAAATCCTGAAACTCCGCTGAAACCTACTATCTACGGATTTGACCACCTCTTCACTGTCATCGACCATCTTCCTATCCTAATTTACCACCTTACCAACTTAAATTCCATGATAAATCAAAATAATTATATTCTTATAAATATTCTCAACTCTCTTGCCTTCAATTGTTTTGTCATACTCAAGTAGCAAAGTCCCAATTCTGGTCAAATCTAAGTCACCACCTACTCAAGTTGTGCACCCATGAGTGCACCTATGGCTTGAGAAAAAAAAAACACAACTACATTGTTTGGCCTCTATTGAACTCCATGATCACTAACCTCAAGTGAATCCTATCATACTCCATTCTCCTAATCCTTTCCCTCTTTCATTCTCCCAAACTACTATTTTGCATGTCTTCTTGTGTCTCTTTAAGCCTCCAAAACCTCCTCCCTCATTCTTTCCCTCAGCGGATAATCTTCCTATTTCGCTAAGAAAATAGAAACAATTAGAAAAGAGTCTCCCAAACTTTCCAGTACCACACCTGCCCACCTACCCAGATCTATCCCCTACTATTCTGCTTTTTTTCCTGTTATAGCAAATGATTCCTCCATTCTCATAGGAAAGGCCAATCCTTAATTCTTCCATTTGTACACTAGATCCATTTGTTGTGCACTTACTCAATGATATTATTCTAGCAATTTTTCCCTGTTTTGCATCACATAATTTTTGCTTCCCTATTAAGTCATTCTCAACAGCATATTAACATGTTATACTGTGTCCCATCTTCTAAAAAAAAAAAAATACAGGCCCAGCATCGACATGCTATCTTCTTTTGGTTTCTAAAATATAATGTTTGTCTGGTTTTCTTATTTCCCTAGCAGCTTCTTCTCAGTTTCCGTTGGTTCTTCCTCTTCATCTCCCCAGTTTCTTAATGTTGAAATGTCCCAGGGTTCAGTCTTGGATGGCTGCTCTCTTTTGTTTATTCTCACTCCCTTGGTGATATCATTCATTCTTATAGCTTTAAATACCACCTGCACTCTGATAATTCCTCAAATTTTTTTCTGTATGCCTGACCCCGGAGCTCCAGGCTTATATATCCAAATGCCTTCTCAGACTTATAACTTCAGTGTCTGGTATCTCATATTTAACACATCTAAAACTCAAGGCCTCATAGTCTCCTCTTAATATGTTCTTCTCCCAGTCTCCTCTGTCTCAAATGATGGTCATTTCATCCTTCTAGTTGCTCCAGCCAAAATACTCAGAAGTATCATTGACTCCTCACTTTCTATTACACCTGATTACAATCTGTCAGCAAATCCTGTTGTTTCTACTGCAAAACATATCCAGAATACAACCACTTCTCACCACCTTACCACTACATCCTTAGCCCAACCTATCCTCTTCTCTCTGGATTACTGCAATCATTTGTAACTGCTCCATCCATTGCCCTCTATAGTCTACTTTCAACACAGAAACTACAGTAATCCTATTAAAAAATGAGTCCGAATATTTCTGTTTGAAAGCATTCAAAAGTAAGTTAGTTCTCAGGAAAAGCTGAAATCCTATACACTGTAGTAGCTTACAAAGCCCCACCCTAACTGGTTTCCTCTTAGTTCTCTGACATCATCTTCAGCAACTCTCCCCTCAATCACTCTGCTCCAGGTGAAGTGGCCTCTTACTGATCCTCAAAATCATCAGACAAGATCTCTACCCAGGATCTTCACCTAGAAAGCTTTCTCCGCAGATATACCTGAGAATAATGTAAACATCATGAGGGTAGGGATCTCTATCTGGTTTTTTTTCCTCTGCTATGTCATCAACATACATAGAACAGTGGTATATACTAAGCACCCAATAATGACTTCTTAATGAATGCCTCTTATTCATGTGGCCTCCTCAAGCTAAAATATCCTTCAGTAACTAAAATATTACCTCATCTGTAAACCATGTCTTTTATCTCAAATTACACTCCTTAATCTGAATCATAATAGGCATTAAACTATACTTCTCTTATAGAAAAATAAAGAAAGTAGTGATTAAGGATATGAGTATCATTTAAAGAAACAATGTTGAAAATTATTACTTATTCAAATGAAGTAAAATAAGAGGCTTCCAGTTAAGGTAGTGTTATGAGTTCACACTTTAACTCATCCTGCTCCAAACACATAGCATAGCGATGATATTTTTTAAGGATTTAAAAATTCTTTGTTAAATACTTGCTATGATTTTTTTTTAAATCTAGGACAGCCTATAATAGGTTAGTTAATTAAAGCCATAACATTTTAAAGCATAGTTGTCTCTGTGGTTCTTAATTAAGAACATGATCCTCAATCTAAAATTCTATATTCAACTAAATTATGATGCAAGAGTAAGAAGAAAATAGAGACATTTCCAAACATAAGAGATGTTCGGTGCCATAATTAAGAGGATGTTATAACCAACACCAAAGAGAAGTTGTGAAAATCAACAACTTCAAAAATAAAATGTGCTTTTAAAATTTTTAATATTTGTTAAACTTACTTTCTTCATACTGCTATCAGACCAACCCTCCATCCACAACACCTGGCATTTCTTATGCAAAGCTGGATTACTCTCACAGTTTATCATGAAGTTTGAATTTGCAGAATCCATTATCAAGACAATATGCAGGTTTTGCTGAATTCCTAAGAAATATATAAAAAATTATATTCATGGAAAATTACAAGAATAATAATAGAATCAGGCAATCTATATGTGGTCCGGGTTAAAGAGATCAAAATTTTCTCAAATGAAATAGTAGGAGCTGTTTTTAAAAATGAGCACAATATAAAACAATATTATGGTATGATTTTCATTTTAGTTAAAAGAACACTTATAAATTTGTATATGTGCATGTTAAGAAAAAAGACTCGGAAAAATGTCCATGAAAAATGGAAGTGTCATAATGTCTGGGTGGTGTGATTATTGCCTCATTTTTCACTTATTTCAATTTTGGATTTCTACATTGCAAATAAAACTGTTTCTATATGAATGAAAGGCTAGTTTTTTAAAACTATGAAGTCTGGCACAATCTAAATAGTTCAATAGCTCTTTAAGACAGGAGGTACTAAAGTGGCAATAATTTCACCACATGAAACGAAGGAGGCAAGGTAAATATTCCAAAGAACATTACCATACTTTCGTCATTCCTGTTTGCTAAAATTTTGCTAAGGTATTGATATGGTTTGGCTCTATGTCCCTACCCCAATCTCATTTTGTAGCTCCCATAATCCCCACATGTTGTGGGAGGAACCTGGTGGGAGATGACTGAATCATGGAGGGGGGCAGGTCTTTCCCATGCTGTTCTCATGATAGTGAATGGCTCTCATGAGACCTCGTGGTTTTAAAAACGGGAGTTTCTCTGCACAAGCCCTCTCTTTGCTTGCTGCCATCCATGTAAGATATGACTTGCTCCTCCTTGCCTTCCACCGTGATTGTGACGCCTCACCAGCCATGTAGAACTGTGCGTCCAATAAACCCCTTTCTTTTGTAAATTGCCCAGTGTCAGGTAAGTCTTTATTAGTAGTGTAAAAACAGACTAATACAGGTGTTTTTATTATAGGCTAGCCTATCAGTAGTTATGTGTTACTTTCTAAAAACTCCAGAAAAAAGAAAAAGGTATAAAGTATCAAATGAACCCAAGATTTAAGATAGTTTTGCAATCTAATGAGAAAATAAGGCAAATTAAATGGTATATATTTCATATGAACCAGTTTGATGTGACTAATGAATTCTATGTCACTTACTATATGTGAAGTAATTGAAGACTGGTCCGAAAAAACCATCTTGTGAAGCTTGATCTTTAAGTGGTAACAGCAAAGGCTCCAATTCTTCAAGAGTATAGAGTCCAGGAACTTCACCTACAGAAAAATATTAGACTAATTCAAAACATTTTAATAAATAATACTTTTTCAATTTTTATATTTAAAAATCTGCTCTTATTCAATTTTTCTTTCCAAAAATATACAAATCTTATTACCTCTATGTGACTCACAAATCTTTATCTATAGCCTTCATTTGATAAAATTCAAACACCTAAGCAAACCACTCAAAATAGTCATAATCTAGCCATCTGTCTACCTTTACACGTTATTTTTCCATCTTCCTCCATAAGACCTTGTATTCTAGCCTCAATAAACTTGTGTTCCATAAATATAACAAAATATTCTGTCCTCTTGGAATGTATACCTATGGTCATCCTCTGCCCCTTATCTTCCCAATAAGTTTTTATCCTTCAAGATGCTACTTCCCTAACTGTTAAGCCCATGAACCTTTTTTGACTACCCATTAGCTAATTAAACACTCTTTCTCTTTCACATACTATTCAAGTATATCACTTTTTAGCACTTATCACATCATTTAATAATGAATTACTTCCTTCTCATCTCCAATTAGACTCTAACTTTCTAAGGACAAATATTTGATAATGTTCAACATTTAACCTTAGAATATTCTTACCTAGGTATCTAGAACAAAAATATGTTTTACATAAATGAATGAATGAACAGATGAACTTGTACTAGAAATCAGAAGAACTGGTCCGTGGCCTGCTTCTATGCATGCCAAATCATGACGATGAATAGAATGATGAAAGGCAAATCCAAGTTGATTAAGACTACAACTTTAGTCTTAGAGACAGATTTAAAGATAGATGGCGTGGAGCACATCCTGTTCACTTCTACAAATTATAATAGTATTTAAAACTTGGCCCTGCATATAAGAGGCATTTAATAAATATTTGTTAAGCCAGTAGGTTTACAATTCACGAGAAACTGTGACATGAAGTGAAAAGTCCTTTGCTACATATCCAAAGTAACGTATTCATATAGGGCCCATCAGTCTGATCCCTACTTTTCTTGAGGTTCAACTAAGAGGCACCAGACCACTCCCACCCCACAGGCTTGTGCATACTTGAACACATGCACACATAAATCTGCATGATACGTTTTTCTTTAAATTTTGGACATACCAAGATATTTTTGATTCCTTAAATTTAGCAAACAATGCCAACTCTACCTATATATTATATATATTAGGAAATAAGAATTTGAAATAGAAAAAAGACACAAAGCCTACTGAAGACTTCCTCTGAAAATAAAATGCCAAAATCTGACTTGTCATTTTTACCATTATATTTTGATCATAAAGGCCAATTTGTTCTAAAATAATGATTATTGGGTTAGTGCTTATCCGAATATTTGCTTTCAAAAAGAAAAAAGAAAGAAAAAAAAAAAGATCTGTGTTTCTGGTCTCTTGTCAGCCAAAACGAACAATGTCTCCATCTAGTGACGGCTGAAGCGATACGCAGGAATGCGTTCCTTAAATATCAAAAGATGTTCATTAAAACGGCCACGAACGCTGTAAGTCCACTCAAGTACTTACCACTTTCACTAAGCCATTATCCCTCAACTCTTTCATAGAAATGGATCTACCACTTGTCTAATCAGAGCATCCTGGTCTGTATTTCTCATCTGGGTACTAATATTTAGATATCACATATTATAAACTAAATGTTTTCTTTAACCAAAGTTGTTAAATTCTGAAGAAAATTTCTCCTCAGAGCAGTAGCATGATACAAAGAAAGTATTTACGAAAAACTGAGTTGAAAATGAGTTCATATAACTTTGTCCTTTGATCCCACAGTGATACCGCCCATACGACTGAAACTAGTTTTTAAGGTTTATTTTGTACTTCAATAACAAAACACTCTTGATCCAGGTTTAAAACTAAGCTACTTCCTCCCAATCACTGACAGTGATTACTCATAGAAAGATTCTAACAAATTTAATAAATTCTTAAAAAAAAAAAAAAGGAAGAAATACAGGAATTCACAAGTATCTTCCCCAGGAAAACACCAAAAAGGTCAGGTAACACCACAGACAACAGGAGAGTACCACAGTTTGCTGCGGACAGAGCCACGGCAGAAGAGTAGCAACAGTTCTTAGTTCAGGTTGCAGGGACTCAATTAGGGAGTCACAATAGCCAAATGATACTCCCACCCCACCCCAGAGATTTTAATTTAATGGGCTTAGGGTAGTAGCAAAGAATTTGTTTTTAGTTGTTGTTGTTGTTGCTTTTAATTATCCAAGTGATTCTATGTGCAATTAGGGGTGAGAAATGCTGAGGAATATAAATGGACAGTGCTTCATGTTATATCTCAGAGGAAAAACAAGACTTTAAACCATAGAAATCTTGAAAACAAAACAATAAATATCTCTACAATCCATAGAATTCTAGATACATAGAGAGCCCACTTAGCCATAAATTTCTAGAGAGTATTTGTATTAAGATAGTCCTCTTTCAAGTGGTATTTTTCTATTATATAGATGCATACTTAAAGTACTTATAAGTTCCTTTTTTTCTTACAAATAATTTTAATTTCTTCTTTTAAAAAACAAGATTACTGGCTCACACCTGTAATCCCAGCACTTTGGGAGGCCAAGGCAGGAGGATCACCTGAGGTCAGGAGTTCCAGACCAGCCTGGCCAACATGGTGAAACCCTGTCCCTACTAAAATTACAAAAATTCGCTGGGTGTGTTGGTGCATGTCTGTAATCCCAGCTACTCAAGTGGCTGAGGCAGGAGTATCACTTGAATACTCCTGCCTGGGAGGGGGAGGTTGCAGTGAGCTGAGATCGTGTCACTGTACTCCAGCCTGGCGACAGAGCAAGACTCTGTCTCTAAATAAATAAATAAATAAATAAATAATATTACTTATTACCTGATTTGTAATATCCAACTGAAGAAGGAAAATGTGCATTTTTCCAGGTTAATGAATGCAGCTATATTCCAGACACATGAAATGTGGGCACTAATGTGTAGAATTATGTGGAATTTCATATATCTGGAGTATACGTATATTCATATATCCATACTAAGGCCATACTATTATATAGTTATACAACCATGCCACTACTGATAGGAAGGTTCTATCAAATGTTTGTGATAATAAATTATACTACCTATTTTCTTGCATACTAGTTCTTTTATTTCTTGCATACTAGTGTGTTAAATTCCTACAGATAATAGAATGGTACATCAAAGAGTATGGCACAGCTTTTAATAAGTCCTAGTTGATAATTTTCCCAAAGGTTATAACAAATAACCCAGCAAAAGTATATGTAAGAGTCAATTTTTCTGAATATTCACCAATACTCAATATTAAGAATTTTTATGTCTTAAATTATTGGTTTTATAAAAATGGAGTCTCTCAATTTTCCTGCCATGAGCATGTTTAACACCATGTCTCCTAAGTAAGAACTATGCCAAACGTTCTCCAAAACAAAGTAAATTTTGCACAAGATAATTTTACTTGGATAATTTTTATGCCATTATTTTCATTTTCTTTGAAAAGAAACTAGTCACTTGCCAGAGGATAAAAGGCTATTGATCATCTCCAAAAACGTAGGATGTACAAACTGGTAATCCTCAAGAAGTAAAACTACTTGTTGTGCTTCAATTCCTGCAAGATGCAGCACCTGCAAAATAAGAAAATACTTTTTAGTGCCCTTTACGTATTTTTGGTGCAGTTAAAAATTAACATTTTGTATGTAAAGTATGCCAGTATCGTGTGTTTATTTATTCATTTATTTCTATTTCAGTAACTAAAAATCAAACTTTAGCCATATAATTTGGAAAGTAAATCCAACCCCTAAGCAAATACTAATTATTTTACAAACAAGTAGATCATTTTTATCTCTACCCACATATTTCCTGTGTAAATGCCATCCTTCTGTTTATCATTCATGTCTGTCTAACATCCCATAACCTGGAGTATCTGGGTCCTAGAAATTCTAATAGTATTCTCTTTCCTGTCTATAGATAAAAATATAATTTTCTAATAAGCATGGAAAAAATAATCTAAATTAAAATAAAGACTATGTTGTATAACAGAGAATTAAAGGTCTTTAAAGATGTTTAGAATAATAACCAATGTAATTTAAAACCAAATAAAGCAAAAGAGAGTGGGCAACTCACATGTTTGAGATCATTTTTGAACTGCTTCAGTTCATATCCTCTGGAAATCTTTGGAGAAAACAGGACCGCTCCATGCATGTGACTGACTAAAGAAGTGATGGTCCGACGACCTACACCACTGCGTCCTGCTAATAGAAGTGAACCCCCAGGGAAACTCAGCACTCTATCTATCCTAGACATATACTCCAAGACTTCGTGGAAGAGTAAAATGTCTAAATTCTGGTTATCTCGTCCATAATGAATAAGACCCTTTGAAAAAAATCAGAATATTTTATAGTTAACATAAGCCCTAACTACAAAATACAAATATTACTTATTTAGGTTAAAATATTATATTTTTGATACATTCAAGAAAAAAGGTGAAGTGACTACATATCATCTCACACTCAATATTTTATACATCCAGAAATCCTGGATAAATAAATTGGCACTCTCTAAGGAAAAACTCACGTCAAACAAGTTCAAGGGTCCATGAAAATCAGTTAGTTTTGGTCACTACTACACTAGTAAAAAGCAGCATGAGATAGCAGGTTAATTATAGAACTTTAAAATTGCTCAAATTTTATTAGTTGTTATGAATCAGTGTGCATAGACCATGAAAAAAATCCCCACACTCTAGAAACCTAGTGCCTAAAAAATCTTTTGTGAATGTTTGTTCTTTCGCATTGCTTGGGAATGAATCAAAAGCTAACACAGGTACCATACTCTGCCAGGGACCACCTGATAAAGTGCAGGAAGGGAGAAAGGAAAATTAGACTTTACATGCTTAACAAATTTCAATGCTTCAAAACTTTGCAACATCCATTCCAGGCAAATCAGTTTACCAGATCATGAAAAAACGTTTCCTGATACAAAATCCACACTAACATTCAATATAAATATTAATTTTTAAAGCAATCATTTGCAATACTGTTTCTTCTTCTTGATTATAACTAAACTTTAAAAGAGAAAGAAACTCTCTAGGATAGTGCTACTCAAAGTTTCAGTGGACCAGCAGCATCAACATCATCTGGGAGCCTGTTAGACATCCGGACTGTCTGGGTCACCTAGTGAATCTGACACTTAAGAGGATGAGACCCAGGAATCTGCATATTTTCTAAACTCTACATGACTCTAATGCTCTCTAAAGTTTGACAACTACTGCTCCAGAGTAATTTCCTGATTAACATTAAACCTCATTAATACTTCCAACATACCTTTGCCCAAAATGTATCTTAGCAATTTTACACATATCTATGTAAGTACATGTGCATCTCGTTACACCTGCCATGATGGACTAGATTTCAAAAGATAAGAACCAGTTTTGCCTGTTCTACAATCTATCATATTCATGCCCTCAAAATCTTTATAATAAATATTTTTAAAAGACTATAATGACCAAATCCCAGTTCCAATTCATGATTCATATTATACCTTTTTAATAACATCCTTGAGATCAGTAGAGTTTAGTTTTCCAAGTGGTTTTCCATGTGGAGGTAATGGTTGTCCTGGGGCTGCCCTTGCTCCTGAATTATGCCGAGCTCCCCATGTAACATAGAAACTATCTGTAGAAATAAACGATATTTTTGTTTTATATGCATTACTCGTAATGAGACTTCAACAAATACATTGCTTACTAAACAATTTTTAAGTTAATTAATCCAACTAAGATCATCTCCAGAAGGGCAAAGGCAAAATACTTTAAAGGGTACATTGTCAGGTCAATAAAACCAGGTGAAATACAATGACTGAGTCAGGCAAGGTGGCCCACACCTATAATACCAGCACTTTCAGAGGCCAAGGCAGGAGGATCACTTCAGCCCAGGAGGTCAAGGCCAGCTTAAACAACATAGCAAGACTCCATCTCTATAAAAAATTTAAAAATTAGCCAGGTGTGGTGGCATGCACCTGTGGTCCCACCTACTTGGGAAGCTAAGGCAGGAGGATCACTTGAGCCCAGGAGTTTAAGGCTGCCATGAGCCATGATTGCACCACTGCATGGGCAACAGAGTGAGATTTACCTCAAAAAAAAAATAAATAGAAAAGAAATACAAAGAACTTCGATTGCAATATCAAACTCTACCTGAAAAGTGACTGATGGCACCACGAGTCTATATTCTGCCCCCTCACTTCTTTCTCCTGAAATGAACTGGTTTCCTTCTACTTTTCTCCTACTACTCCCCGCTGTCTACTCTCAGTTTGTCCCATTTTCCTTCTTCTTCAGAATCTACATAAAATTTGTAAGTTAAAAATAGTTCACATAAAATTAGCAAATAAAACAATCTCAAAACTCTCCTTGAGAAAGGACATGGATGTATTAATACCAAAAAGAGCCCTAATGCTTAAAAAAAAACTAACCAAATTTTAATTAGAAAACAAAAATCTCCCAAACTTCCCTTAAATCCACCTATGGCAGGGTTCCTGTTACCATACAAGGAAAGTCTATTCACCATTCTATTGAACTTTTTCCTTCCCAACTCTTCTGGGAGACTGTTCCACCAACCATTCTTGTCACATGCTCGGTTCTACATTCCCCTAAAATAGCAACCTAGACCCAAGCTACTTCAGGTTCTCCCTACTTTCACCATCACATTTTTTACATTATTTTCTATCTGTACAGGCTACTACACTAAAACTCTTATTTGGGAAAAATAATACAGTCACAATCTCCAAATCTAAATCTTCTCTGCAATCATTATCCCAACACGACCTTTGTGCACCTCTTCTTTTGCACTTGCATCTATATAACCCTACTTATCACACCACAACTACCAGTCCTTTTCAGTTTTCTGCTTTATTCCTTCTATACTGATATTCCCTGGGGTCCAATTTCAGTCTTCTAATCTTTTAATTCTAAAAATTCTCCCCGAATCATTTAATCCTTTTTGTCAGTTAAATTATCAACTATTTATACACCAAAAACTCACCTACTACTTATCTTTAGGCAAAACTCCTATGTTCTAGGCTAGTCCCATATTTCCAGTTGCTTAACAGACATGTAATTCTTGCATTCACTCACTAAATACTTACCTGTTGAGCACCTGTTGTTTAAACAAGGTACTCTCTGCCTAAGTATTGCGTAAGACAAACATGATTCCTACCCTCATAGATGATCAACTCTATGTAGATTTCCAAAAGACACGAAAAGAGATTGCAAACATTCAAGCACATGTACAAAACTGAACTATTATCCTCACATATCATCATTTCTCACTTGGACTATTGCAGTAGCCTCTTACCTTGTATCCCTGCTATCAGTTTCTGCCCCCTCAAGTACATCTTCACTAGTACTAGGGTAACACATACAAAAACAAAACCTGATTGTGCCACACCACTGCAATATCACATATAGCTTTCCACTTCCTAAAACAAAACACCAAACTCCTAATGACGGCCCTCTACAATCTGGCTTCACTGATTGCTTGAATCTTCTACCTCTCTCTGCACTATATACTCTAGTTTTCTCGAGCCTCTGTTTCTTTGTACATTGCTTTTCCCTTGTCTGGAATATCCTTCACTTACTATATTCATCCTTTAAAACACAGTTTGAGCACTTCCAATTGTTTTAACAAATTTAAAACTTAGGTATAGGTTAGGTATAAATCTAACATAACATGTATAATACTTGAATGCTAAAAACTATACAACACCGATGAAAGAAAGCAAAGATCTAAATAAATAGAGGGATTAGATAGATGGAGAAAATGGGAAGACTCAACAGAGAAAAGATGTTAATTCTCCCCAAACCAATATACAGATTTAAGCAATTCCTATCAGAATCTCAGCAACATTGTTTATACATTCATAAAATATTATTCTAAAATCTATATGAAAAGACAAAGAAACAGAAATAGCTAAAACAATTTTGAGAAAGAAGTCTAAAGTAGGAGGAAATCAGTCTAAACCAGTTTCACAACTTATATAGTAGCTAATCAAGACAGTGTGGTACTGGCAGAAGGACAGATACATAAATCAATGGAGAATCCAGAAATAGACCCATGTTACCAATTTTTGACAAAACTGCAAAATCTATTCAGGCAGAAAGATAGCCTTCTCAACAAATGATGCTGGAGCAAATAAACATCCACAGGCAGAAAAATAAACCCTGACCTAAGTCTCATTCACTATACAGAAATTGACTCACAATGGACCACTGACTCAAATGTAAAGCATAAAACTATAAACTTTTAGGGAAAACATAGGAGAAAATCTTCAGGATCTACAACTAGACAGACTCCTTAAACTTGACATCAACATATCCTTATGATGAAAAATGATAGGTTAGGCTTCACAAAATTATATAAAAACTTTTTATCTGTGAAAGAACCTGTTAAGGGGATGAAGAGACAAGCCTATGGAGAGGGAGAATATATTTGCAAACCATATATCCAACAAAGGACTGGTATCTCTAATATATACATATTCTCAAAACTCAACAGTAACAAACCAATTGCCGGCTGCAGTGGCTCACGCCTATAATCCCACCACTTTGGAAGGCCGAGGCAGGCGGATCATCTGAGGTCAGGAGTTCAAAACCAGCCTACCCAACATGATGAAACCGCATCTCCACTAAAAATACAGAATGTAGCTGGGCGTGGTTGTGCATGCCTGTAATCCCAGCTACTTGGGAGGCTGAGGCAGAAGAATCGCTTGAGCCCGGGAGGTGGAGTTTGCAGTGAGCAGAGGCTGCACCACCGCACTCCAGCCTGGGAAACAGTGAGACTCTGCATCAAAAAAAAAAAAAAAATTCTGATTAGAAAATGGATAAAAGACATGAAGACATTCTACCAAAGAGGACATACAGACAGCAAATATTACACAAAAAGATGTTCAACTTCACTAGCCATTAGCAAAATGCAAATTAAAGCCACCATGACATATATACGCTTACATGAATGGCTAAAATACAAAATAGTAACACCATCAAATGCTGGCAATGATGAGGAACAATACCTCTATAAAAAACAGCCTCTTCGTTGCTTAAAAAACTAAGCATGCGAGTACCACACAACCCTGCAATTGCATTCCTGATCATTTATTCCAGAAAAACAAAAATCTATGCTCACACAACAACCTGTACAAGAATATTCATAGCAGCTTCATTCCTAATAGCCAAAAACTGAAAACAACCCAGATGTCTCTCAATAGATAAAGGGTTAAAGAAATGGTGTATTCATATGACGGAATAAAAAGCAATAAAAAGAAATGAACTATCAAAACAAAACAATCGGCATGTATCTCCAGAGAAATAGGTTGAGTCAAGATAACTTTCTTGAAATCACAAAATTAAAGAAACAACAGATTAGTAGTTTCCAGGAGATAGGACAGAAGTGAGTATGGCTACAAAAGGGTAACATTATAGATCCTGTGGTGATATAACTGTTCTGTATCTAAACTGTATTAATGTCAATATCCTGGCTGTGATGCTGTGCTATAATTTGGCCAGATATTACCATTGAGGGAAACCAGGTAAAAGGTAGATGTGTTCTCTCTGTATTAATATTTATAACTGCATGTGACTCTGTAATTATCTCAAAAATAAAAAATTGAATTTAAAAAAGTTTTATTCCCACTGCTTCAATTGACCAGCCTTAAAAAACGGTTCCAAGTAACTTCCTCAAAGCAGAATTATTCTCCACCTCTTCTAGAACCCTACTATCCAGCATTTATCTCAAACATATTCAGAAAAGTTATATTAATTATAAAACGTTCTATACTCCACTGTAATTATCATTTTAACCATCTACTTCCACAAACATTTGTGGTATCTAATCACACTAGCAATAGTTATCATTGTAAGTAAAGATTTTTATATCTGTTTCTGTCATTAGATTACAATCTTCTTAAGGATGAGAATGTATCTAGTTTATTTTTATGCCTCCAAGATTAAATTTTTCTTAATAAGCTAATCTTTCAATATGTGAAAATCCTATATGACTAGATCTAACATATGTCAAACCTGTATTTTTTAAAAAGAAAACCCGACTGGTGTGGTGGCTTACACCTGTAATCCCAGTACTTTGGGAGGCCGAGGTGGGCAGATCACCTGAGGTTGGGAGTTCGAGACCAGCCTGACCAACATGGAGAAGCCCCATCTCTACTAAAAAATACACAAAATTAGTTGGGAATGGTGGCACATGCCTGTAATACCAGCTACTCAGGAGGCTGAGGCAGGAAAATCACTTGAACCCGGGAGGCGGAGGGTGCAGTGGGCTGAGATCGGGCTATTGCACTCCAGACTGGGCAATAAGAATGAAACTCTGTCTCAAAAAAAAGAAAAAAGAAAACCCTTCACTGAAGAGAAAAAAACCAAAAAAAAAAAAGACATATTTTATTTATTGAGTCTTACATAGGAGACTCTGAAAGATACCAATCTTTTCAGAGGATTCAGACACCCAATTAGGTGCCAATACTATCTTATGCCCAAAGGATTTGCCACTTTCTTTGCAAAAAGAGACACTACTGACTCAATTTTCAGACAGAGAAAGACGGCACCATTTAAGAACCTAAGCCTCTCCACACTAAGCCATGCAAGCTACAAGTCGTAATGACATAAACCATCACTCTAAGTCAAGCAAATTCTGAACTATTAATATGATCAGACTTCTCTCAGCATTTCATCCTTCTTGAAGTTTCTCTTGAACCCATTTCCTGATTCAAAAACTCAGGAGAACCTAGAAAATTCCTTCTGTCAATTTAAACATCTTTCCCACCTTCAAAGTTCCCTTTAGGATAGGTACTCATGGATCTCAGACCAATATCAAATCTAGAAATGTACAATATACCAAATGTATATGTTGGTGCAGAATTAACTGTGGTTTTGCCATTAAAAGTAATTGTATAAAATATATTTATTATATAAAATATTTTTGAAGCCTAGCTTTATCCTCTGAAAAACTAAGCACATTTTGTGGCCTGACAGCAGTTTTATTAGGAAATATTTCCATATTGCAATCTTCTTTTAACAAAAGACCCTCTTCACAAGGATGACTTGCATATTACATACATTACTCCCGCAGTAGTTTTCAAAATGCAAAGTGGTTATTAAACAGTAATCATTGCAAATGCAACACAGCAGCTTTGACTGAATGGTATTATGCTTTCTTTACAATAACAATAGACGAACATAGTAACAAGCACATGTAAGTTCTACGCTAATGACATTATAGGTAGTGACAGGAATAAGAATGCCCATTGCTCTTAGGCAAAAGGTCATTACAATCAAATATGAATTTTCCCAATGATCTTCATGTTTAATATACATGTAAATGTTTTTCAAAAAAAACCTTTTATTAAAATAATCTTGCATTGCCAATGTAAAACAGTATGGCCTGAACTCCTTTTTTCTAAGAAAAAAATTATTGCCATTATATTTTGTTTAAAACATGATTACTGAAATCCAGCAAAAAAGACTGAAGAGTATCTTATGGAAAAAATAATATTAAAATTATTCAAAGTGTTTATTTGTTTGGACCTATAAAATCATGCTATGGGTAAGAAAAATATTTCTAAAATCCTTGTAACAGTTATATATTTGCATAAGCTCTATTACATTACCTGACATATTGTCTAATACGTCTGAGCCCCAATCTCCTTGAAACACTGATGTTAAAATGATGTCAAATAAATGAAGTTCCTTTGCACCAACAATTTTGTCACGAAATAAGCGCCGCGCTTCATATGCTACAATTTCTAACACATAATCTAGTGGATGGTTTGAGGATCCTAGAAAAGGCAAAATTTTATTTAATTGTAATATAATGATTTTTAAATAATCTGTTTAACATAATATTAGAAAGAAATAGCAGGCATCTACATACCGTAATTTTGGCATCAGATAAATGGAAGAAAGGAAAAAAAGTTAGAATTCATTTTGTTAATAACTCGGTACATGTTTGTGATTACTTAAAGGTAACATTAAATACTATCATCTCTAGTTGTTCAATAAAAACAATTCCAGAAAGCATACTAAATACACTTTGCCTCAAATATAATGATTTCATTTTTCCCAAAAGGAGGTTTTAATAGTGACAATCATATATAGTTTGGAAGAAGAAATATAATAATTTTAATAATAATATTTCTATTTAATAACATAATTTGTGATATAATACTCATTTATCTATTACAAATACAATCTACAGAATAAATGTGCATGCGCATACACACGCACACACACACACACAGATAAACACCAGCAAAACTCACCTCCTTCTAAATCATATCTAAATAAGCCAAGAACCCATTGGGTAAGAATGCAAGGAGTAAAGAAATAGTGACTATAATCATCAACTGTAAATTTGGCTCGCACCTGAGAAAGAAAATACAGTAAACAATCTTTCTACTGTCTTAAATATATAATCATGTTATAAATTTGTCAGTCTCCTTAGACTCAGAGGAATACTAATTTCTACCTGTAGATGGAACTGGATTTCAATATAATTGACTTCATTATCTTTATATTTTATGCACTTAAAAACATTATTCTGGCCAGGCGCAGGGGCTCATGCCTGTAATCCC